TTTTTTTTTATTCATTTAGTTATTTTTAATGATTTTACATAATGCTTAAAATATAAATATTAACTATTGTTTATTAATATTATTAATTTATAACTCTTATTTTAAATTACCTTGACACCCATATTTCTTGTACAAATTATTATTTTTTTTTCACTTATTTAATTAGATTCTTTTAGATCATTTTTGTGTTACTTAAGTCATCAACATACCAACTCTATTCATTACCAATAGTAAACTGTTTAGTAATACAATACCCTACTTAGTGATGTAATACTTTTAAATTATTAGGATAGAAAAAAATAATTAGATGTATAACAGAGCAATAGCACTTTGATGAACACATATATAATATATTATTATTTAATAATAATGAATACACAATTTGTCAAAATGATGTCAGTTTAACTTTATTAAATGCGAATAAATCTAGAACCTAATCGGGAACAAATTACAGTGAACTTAACAGAATAATAGATAACAAAAAAAATCTAATACTAATCTGCTAGATTAAGTTCTCCAACTCACTTCATATAAAAATAGTAAAGAAAAAATTTGTACAATTATTTTTACAATTCAGGGTTTTTTTTAAATATAAAACTTGTTTAATTATATTTTAATTGTATAACTTTAACATACTACAAATTGTTTCCCAACCATACTTTGTAATAATTTAAACAAAAAAAATTGATTCACATGTTTTACTGAACTATTTACAATTACAAATATCAAACCATTAGATTTTTTAAAGATTTTATTTTCCTGTTTATTTAATTTTTAACATAATATGCATACACATAATATATATATATATATATGTATAAATAAATATATGTATATGTATATTATATATTATTTTATTATTGTTTAGGTGTGTACAAAAAAACTTACTAAGTAGTAGTTTCTCTAAATAAATAGAATTGGTGGGCTTAAAAATCCATGGCCACAGCAGCTGTAGATCCAGAGTAAGTCATAACTTAAACATATATTCTTAGCCAGTCAATTTTTCAGTTTTTAATATAAAACCTTCTTAACTTACAAAAACATTTTAGATTTTGTTTTTGAAATATATAAAATAATATTCAGTTATTAGCAAAAAGACCGTTGATAAAGAATTAACGCCCAAGCATGCTATTAAAAAAAAATGTATGTTCAGCTTTAATTGGATGGATTAAGAATAAAATAATAACCCTATGTAACAAAATCAATGGATGTATATGTGATGCGATATTCATGTTATTTTAGTCCTGCATATCATCAGTGATTTCATGTGGATTTAATATACCAGGCACAGTTTTCTGTACTTCGCGCTTTTCTTCTTGAGCCGCCCTTAACGCTTGTTCTCTTTCTTCAAGGTATAAGTCAGATATATCTTCTCCAGTAAATTCCTAATGAACATATTAAAATATTTTGTCAATTAAGTCAATTATAACATCTAGACTACAGATTTAGTTGTTACTTATTAAACACAACTTTARAAATATTAAACTATTGTACATTATAAAGTTTRATAGTTTTAAACTTTAACAGTTWTTTGAATTAATTACATTATTATATCATGCTTGAACAACATTTCTGTTGAATCAATAATATACCACGAGTAAATTTTACTTTATCAATTTCCTGACAACACTTAACAGCAAGTAACTATATGAATATCAACGAGAGTTAATAATTTAATTTTTTAAATAATATCTCAAATTTACTTTTAAAGTATTTTTATTTTTCATTTAAGACTTAAATATAATAATTGAAAAAATATATAGCTTAATAAAAGGCAAATTTCAAAATATGTTGTTAAGATTTGATTATTAAGATCATTAAATTATATAAAAAATATTTAATGCAATAGTTGCATTGTATCAATTATAAAAGTTAACAGATAATTAAATTTAAATAATTATTTCAAAACAAAAGTTATATTAAAAGAAGAAATCTATCCATAGATTTGTTTTATTTTAAAAACTTACGACAGAGCAAATTTTTGTTCACTAGTTTTGATTGTGAGTAGTAAGTAAATTTTGATATWAGCGTTAACCTTAACAAATTTTCAGGTAAGAACATTATCTGTGGTTAAGAGAACAATGCATGTATTGTCTTCGTCTTTACTGAAGCCAATAATACCAAAATTTGTATCCAACAGTCCCAATTTTTTGCTTAAATTAGAAAGAATTTACCTAYTTTACTAATATGTATGAACATTATCTGTGTACTCTCATTGGATTTTTACTTATATTGTAGGTGAGTTATGAACATTTTCAAATCATAATTTACATGCTCATTATTCATCTCAAAATAAAAATATTGYAAAATACTAATGACAGAACACGGATAATGTTAAAACATTTAGAGCGCCCAGGTAAAGATTGTAAATTTTGCCCATAAAAATACCCTCCACGGGATAAATGATCCTGTTCTGCAGAATCTACCCAATTTGATAATTTTTATTTAAAACTAATATTGGGTAATATTCTACAGACTGCTTTGAACTCTGTTTTCAATATTTTAATTTCAAACTATATGTAAGCTTGATTATATTATGCCATTTGAAATAAAATAAAAATTGGAGTTTGATGCAGTCTTTAGGAAGTCTTTGTTAGTTCAATATAGTAATCAAAATCCTATAATACTACAAGCATAGGCGTGTCCAGACCTCATTCGCAGGTCATGCACAACA